GCCCCGGCCCCCCCCCCCCCCCCGTTTTTATTATTCCCCCATTTTTTGGGGGTTGGGGTTCCCCCGACCTTTAAACCCCGTTGGTCCCATTTTCCTTTTGTGGGGGGGCCCCCCCCCCCCCCCCCCGCGCGCGCGCGCGCCCACGCTGCCTCGTTGCCGTTTCTGTAGGTTCCGTGTCCCGTGTGACCTGTGCACGACCCTGGCAATGTGCGCAAACAAACACCACTCCGAAAATGTGCGTTCGCATGTATTGTTTGGCTTTGGGATGCGTGACCTTTTCTTGAGGTTCTGGACACGAAAGGAAAGGATCACGAGGCGGAGGAGGTATTCCGCTAGTCCCCGATTGGCTGAACCTGAGTCGTCACTGTCGTCGTCGTCGTTGATACCGTGGTGGTGGGAGCCTTCGTGCGCTGGTTGTTACTGTAGTCTTTGTCGATGTTGTTGTGCTCGTCGTCGATGCTTCAAATGTTTTCCTTATCCATAGCCATGCTTCATTTCTATATATATATATCTATATATTTTTTTTTTCCCAAGTACTCACAACGAACGGCGGTATTTTTCTCGGTCAACCAAAACGACGACCCATCCCACCCTTATCGCTACGTCTGTTGTCCCCGCGCTCGTTGCGTTCCTGGCAGGTACGAACGCTCGCAGACATGGTGAAAGTGCCCCCCGGTACCGGGGGTGTTGAGTACACGGGTAGTCACCATGGTTCCGGCGCCCACCGTTCTGTTGGGAGCGTCAAAGAAGAGGCCCGGGAGCTCGGCGGCGGCGGGGAGGGAGGAGAGAGAGATGGAGGAGCGGTGGGGGTAGCAGCAGAAGCAGCAGCAGAAGCAGCAGCAGCAGTAGCAGAAGCAGCAGCAGCAGTAGCAGCAGCAGCGGCAGGGACGCCGCGCACGCTCCAGGGCCGGGCCCGGGCGCGGCGCAGGGTGTTGGAGGTGGAAGGCAAACGGGTACGTTGTTGTTGTCGTTGTTGTTGTCGTTGTTGTTGGTGTTGGTGTTGGTTTTGGTGGTGTTGACGTTGTCGTATGCATACATATGGATGAGGTATTTTGAATGAAGGGCACACGTGTATCCTCAGCTCAACATGGTAGACGGATGGCACTCTCCCTGTACCTACCTGACCCCATTCTTGTTATGTACAAAATTGTGTTGCACGCATGACGCACGTGCTGTATCCCAGGTGATGATGCCCAACATGATCTCCATCTGCGATGGAGTGGTGCTCTCCCTCTACCTGGCTCCGATCTCGATCTTCGGCGAGCGCCGTGAGGACGTGCCGGGGGACTTGGAGATCGACGAGAGCATGGGAAACATGTCGAGGGGCGGCTATCACTTCGCTAGGATGCCTGCTGTTACCATCGCCAACGTGCTCAAGCTCAGGTGCTGCTGCTGCTGCTCTGCTGCTGCTGCTGCTGTTGCTGGTGTACGTTGGTTGTTGTTGTACTGTGCCGGCGGAGTTGTCAGAGGTGCATGGTGCGAGGTCGGTAGGGAGTGGGGAGAGGAGTGACAGGGAGGCAAGGAGACACACAGAACGACGGACAGACAACTACCTGGTAGAGGAAAATTATAAAAAAATAATTAATAATACAGCCCGCACTTTCGTGGGGTGCCCATCCGATTGGTTTGCTTACATATCCGCGTGGTGTGATCTCCCTCCGCTCTCTGTATATTTCTTCCATAAAAAAAAAAAACGCGCGGGATGGGATGGCATGGGATGGAACAGGGCTCTGCGGGACGTGATATCGTGGAAGCACAACGAGACAAAGACCGTCCACAGGATAGTGGCCGCCAAGGTGCTTAGCGTCTGGGAGAGGCACCACCCTGGTGAGGCGAAGCAGCTGAACGAGCTCCTGCGAGATGGCGACGTCGACAAAGACCTCATCTTCCAGGTACTGGCTCCGATATAAGAGGGTATGGTACCTTGTATTATTAGAGGGGAAGTTCGATGTAAGAGGGTCGAAATCGGTTGTCACGGACTCGACCCGCTATCGTGTAAGTAGTTGGGTAGCCTCTTATTGCGGTATTGGAGGGGGCTCCGGTGTAAGCGGGTCGAAACCGGATGTCACGGACTTCGACCTGCTATACAACAGCATGAAGTTGTTGAGTACCTCTGCTTATTCCGGTATAAGAGGGGGGCTCCGATACAGGAGGGTCAAGGGCCTTCTCGGTGCACCACTTTCTTACATATAACGGGTGGCACGACTGGAGGAGGCGGCGGCGGCTACTTGACGGCATTTTTGCCTTGCGTTTTGATGAGGACGACGACACATGGATCGGGTGGGGACTGGCTTGGCTCGCTCCTCTCCTCAATGCTCCTCCTTTCTACGTTGCGTTCGTTTTTTTTTTTTTTCAGCTTGTTAGTCCCCTCCCCCCGAGGCCCTGGTGCTGAAACCGTTCCTGTGTTGCGCGCGATGGTTTTTCCCCTGCTTGGTTGGGACATTTGTTAGGCTCCGGAGGCACTGCTGCTTTCAACGCCGTAGATTTGTATCCATGTGTGCCTTTTTTGCCTGCGGTGGGCAGATGTCAGCAGCTTTGCGGACCGGGGTTTGCGGTTTGCGGGGGTTGGTTAACTCGGGGCATCATCATGCCTGCCGCGAGGTTGCAACGCATGCGCTCTTCTTCGTGGGCTTGGTCGGTGCAGCTGCCGCGCGTACTCGCACATGTAGAGTGGTCGCGACTTGATTTTTTTTTTTCTTTTTTTTTTTTGTCTCTGATGCTAGATTTTCTCTCAATGCTCCGGGAAGGAGGTTGCAAAACAACGATTTCGCGTGGTATCTATTGAGAAAGGAGGCCTCAGGAATGAATCCCCACAAATGTTACCATGGACAGCTTGGTATCCATCATCTGCTGCCCTCGGTGTAGCACCTCACGCAAGCAAGCATGCCGCCGTCATTCGCCCTTGTTATTATTTGTAGGTGTGCGATGTATGTACTGTGGGTGCAAATAAGAACAAGTTGCGTTTTTTTTTTTTTTCACGGTGTGTGATGTGTGTGAAACCAAATCCATTCATTATTTATCTTCACGGTGTGTCACGTGTGTGAAAATAAAATGTAATGCGGACGGACGTCCCTTCAGGTGGGGAACGCGGGCCCCACGGCGGTGTACAAGGCTTCCGAGCTGCGGACGGTTTACGCCCGGCGGGCCACGGAAGCCCCGCTCCTCATCGCCGGCTTCACGGAGGAGCAGCTCAAGGCCTCGACCGCGGAGGGCGGGGAGCAGTTCTACGCGGACGAGCTCGAGGAGGCAGGCGAAGAAGAAGTTTCGGACGCAGAAGATGGAGAGGAAAAAGCTGCTGCTGACGCGGTGGCCGAGGGGATGGGCAGGGGAAAGCGCGCTCTTAATAGCAGCAGCAGCGACGCGGCAGCAGCGGGAAGGGGAGATTATTCCATCCCTACCGGGAAGCGAGCGTACCGGCGGAGAACTGTTGTCGGCGGTTCCCCTCCTTCGCCCCCGCCGCCGCCGCCCGCTCGCTCGTCTTCCGCTTCGCCGAGACCGAGGAGGCGTCGGCGAAGCAGGGTCAAGGAGGTCGTGGCCAGCGACGGCAAGTGTTACACCCTGCCACTGTGCGTCCGCGAGAAGGGCAAGAAGCTCAACCTCTACGTCTCGCTGCGGGCCCACAGGGTGGACGGGGACTCGCTCTTCACGGACCCCTCGGCGGAGAACGCGCCGCTGCAGAGGCCGTACGGCCGGGCGGACATCACCCGCGAGAACTTGCTAGCACTGAGGTGGGTGCTGCAGGAGTGATCGAGACTGAGGGCAGACGATGGACACACGGAAGTTGTTCGTGGAAAAAATTGTGTGGATTTATTTCCGGAATAAGCATACAACCGTACATCGTGATCCCATGTTTGAAGTCGTCGTAGTAGTAGTATGCATAGTAGAAGTAGTAGTAGTAGTAGTAGTAGTAGTAGTAGTGAGAGTATATTGCCACCCTTCTAGTCTCGTTTTTTTTTTTTTTTTGTCAGAATTTTTTCCACCCACGGCAGTTTCCGCACGGTCTGACGTACCTCCGCAAAGGACGAGCTTCAGATCGGGGGCCGTTCATAGGAGTTTTACCTATATTTTATTTTATTTATTTCACTTAACCGCGACGATGGGTTTGGATGGGACTGCTGCTGTCACCTTCACAACAAGAGAGTGCAGATACACCATATAGGTTGCATGACGTAAGATGACACACCCCCTGGTTCGATTTTCAAAGCTTGATTACTCGGCAGGGAAGCCAGCGGCGGTGCCGGAGAGGGCGGCGTTGGAAGCGTCTCGTTGAGGCCTTTCCGACGACGTATCCTTGAATTTTTAGCATCCTCTTCGTCGTCAAGTACTGAAGCTTTGAAAATGGTCCCGGGGGGTATGGTATTTTACGCAACCTACGGTATGTCCACACTTCCTTCCCTCCGAAAGCACGAGCTTTGTGCGGGGTCACGCCGTGTGTTGCACGTTTTCATTCGCGAAGGAAATCCACATGAACGTCGATGAATCCTCACACCCTGGGGCACCACTTTCTCGTTTCTCTGAAAACGAGAGAAATATACTCCGGAAAAAAGTAATGATCCACGACAGTCAAAATATTTGTGGTGATTTTGCGTGTGCTGTGCTCCTCGTAAACATGTTGAATTTTTGTTGTGCCGCACACAGAGCGGTTCGGGACCTGGTGTATCGCAGCCCCACAGTACACCCGATCATCGCGGCGGACGCCTTCGAGATCTGGGAGAACGTGCACGCCGCCGAGACCCCGCGCCCGGACGACGACACCGTGGTCATCTCTGGCGCGAGGACGGCCGACGGCAACTTCGTGCCGCAGGAAAAGGTGTGTGTGTGTGTGTGTGTGTGTGTGTGTTTGTGTGTGTTTTTTATCGTTAGCATCGACCTTGCTAACCGGCTGACCAATGAGAAGACGTCAGTCGCCGTGCGGTGTCTTGTGTGTTTTTATCATAAGCATCGACCGCGCTAGCCGGCGAACCAATGAGAAGACGTCAGTCTCAGTGCAGTGCCTTGTGTTTTTCTTATTAGCATGCACCGCGCTAGCCGGTTGAACAATGAAAAGACGTCACAGTGTCAGCGCGGTTGAAAACACAAAATGATTCTAGAGGCCAGGCCATGATCTGGGACCCCGTGATGGGGCGTTGTGGGGGAGGCAGTGTGTGTTTGTCTCCTCTCGTCCAAAATTGAGCTTTTTATAGTGCTACTGCTGCGGTATCGTCTTGCGTCTTGCCGATGATTGGTGGTTTGCAGACCACTACGGTGAGCTTGCTCGGTTTTGGTATTCACTTCGGAGTTAATCGGTCTGGTGGCTCATCCCTTAGTTTCACATGTCTCTTTTTCATATCTCTCTCTCTCTCTCTCTCTGTGTCTCTCTCTCCCTCCCCACCCCCCTCTCCCCTTGACACCGCCGTCCACCAACAAACTCCATCTTTCGCACGATTGCCCTTTGTCGTTCGATCAATTTAGTTTACGGTCGGAGAGCTCCGGAGGCTCCGGGGCGTGGAGAGGCGCAAGGCGGTCGACGACCTGCTTGACGGCATGCTTCGGTCGCCCTCCGTCATGGCCGGCGAGCTCGAGGAGGCCACCCCAACGCCCGCCGCCGCCGCCGCCGCCGCCGCGGCGGCGTCCGCTGATGCTCGTGCGGAGAGGCTTTACGGAGGAGGAGGCGGCGGGGGAAGAGGCGGGGGGTCGTCGGCGTCGTCTGGTTCGAAGAAGATGAAGATTTCGCGGCATAAACTAAGCGGTGGTAGTGCTTCCGGTGTTGCTGCGGCGGCCGTGCCCGCCCACGAGATGCCCGCCACGGCGGTTTCATCCTGCTCGTATTCTTCGTCGTCTTCTGTGTCTTCCTCGCCGGGGGTCGGTGGCGGCGGTAGGGCAACGACGCGGGCGTCGAAGAGGAAGAAGCCGTCGAGGCTGGAGGATGAAGACGAGGAGGAAGAGGAAGAAGAGGAGGAGGAGGAGGAGGAGGAGGAAGCTGGTGGCACCTCCGGCGCCACGGGCAGGCCGGCGGGAGGAGGCGGGGCGGTGGCGGTAGTGGGGAGGGGCTCGAAGCGACGGTCTCTTGGCCGAGTGGAGGAAGAAGAGGGCTGGGGAGCCGCTGCCGACGCCGGTGCGGCCGACCCGTACCCGTTCTACCGCCAGGGGAAGAAGCCCGGGGAGGTCAAGGGAAGACGGAAGGGTGACTGGCGGATGGACGGCGGCGGCAAGGAATGACCAAGACAGCGATGACGACAGTGAAGCAGAGGCGGAGGGGGAGGAGGGGGAGGAGGCGGAGGAGGAGGAGGAGGTCGCGACCGCCGGGGGAGAGCAGCAGCGGGGGCGGCAGGGAGGGGGTGGCGGCGGCGGCGGCGGCGGCGGCGGCGGCGGCGGCGGCTCGCCGGACAGCCTCGCCGGCTTGCGGAGGGACAGCTGGCTGCAGGCGGTCCACGAGAACGACAGGCATCTCAAGCTGGAGCTGGAGCGGTTGAGGAAGGAGAGGGCCAGGGTTAAGGAGGCTCACCTCGCCCGGAACGTGGAGCTCATGAAGTGGATGGTGCAGGAGCAGTCCGGGATGCACGGCGGGAGCGCCGGCCCCCCGCCCCGGCGGTGATTGGCTGGCTGGTTTTCGGATGATCGGATGATGTTGTTGACGTCGCCTTCGGCCCCCGTCGACAGCAGCGCACTCAGATGGACGGAAAAGGAAGTGACGACGCCCATTATTTTTTCCTCTGGCGTTCTTCGATGGAGCAACCGAGAGGGCGGCAGGACGCCCAGCTTTATGTGTCCCCGTCCGTACATTTAGTATTGTTAATGGGGACGACGCCCTTCGATTTATTAGTGGTGGCTTTGTTTTGGCAGCGGAGGCGTGACTCTTCGTCGTCGCTTGGGGTTTGCAATCGGCGAGGACGTTCTTTGAGTAGTCCATCGAGAGGGTTGGGGGTTGGTTGGTGGTTTAGTTTTTTCCGGCGTGTTGACGATGCTGAGCAAACCCGCAGTGCACGTGGCGGCGCGGGGAGAGAGCGAGGGAGACAAGAGGGATTGTGGACACGGAGAGGGGGACTATAAACATCAACAACTTTTTAGAGAGCTGTGTTTTTCAACAAGGACCGCGCTGAATCGTCCCCGGGTTGCTTGGATAGCCTCGGTAGAAATGGGAATCGTTTGTGGTTTGTCTTCGGCAGGCACGGCAAGACAAAAAATGTAACGGTGCACGAAGAGAATGGACGGTACCAGGTATTGTCTTTGCACTCCAGGGGGGTGGTGACTAGAACTTGGCCAATGAATTGTCGAGATCAGAGTAGTTTGGTTTACAGAGCGAAACGTCGGTGACCTTTTTGCCGTCGTTGTTGAGGAGATTGAGCTTCCAATCCCATTGTTAAGGGGGGGGCGGGGGGCGGTGCCAGACAGGCTTGATGCGTTTGCGCAGGCGTCGTCCTGTGCCGTGGATTTCACGTGTGATAAACCCATTCATGTTTGTCGAAGCGTTTATTGTGTACAAGAGCGGCTGGCGGTGGCGGTACGTAATAAAAATCCCTTGTGTGTGTTACGCTGTGAGTGATGGCGTCGGAAACTTGGGGTGCTCAGCTCAGCACCAGGCAGATGTCGCGACAGGGAAACAAATAGATCTGGATCGTGGGACGTGTGACCCCACGCCGCGACGCTTTATGGCGATTCCAACCGCTCGTTCTTGCTGGAGGAGAGCTTTATATAGTGGCCGCTCCGGTCAAGCGTGTCGTTTTTTTTGTTTTGTTTTTTCGCTCGAAGAACACGACGCAAAGATCGTTTGTTTTAGCGTCTCGACAGAGCGGAGCGGTGGGTGCGTGGTCATGATGCCAGTGCGTCGACGGAAGAAGGGGAGTCTTCGGGCTTTTGGGCATGCATGGTAATCGTTCCTATTCGGATTCGTTGCCAAAACGAATTCTGTTAAGTGTTGGGTTGGGTTGGGTCAGTAGCGTTCTCGAAGATATACGGTTCACCCACTTGCTTATTATCTATCTCGTCAGTACACCTTGCAGCTCTGTAGTTCGTGTTGCGCAGGAAAGGTTGAGTGTATTTTTTGTTTGCCGATGTCAGCTGTTTGCTGTGCGTCAATGTAGGTTTCATTTGTCGACTCTTTCCGAGTTTGTTTGTGGCCAGCCGCCGAGCCTCTTCATGGTACGGCAGCGGGGGGTCCTCAGTAAAACGTCCGTTGACCAGCGCCAATGGCCCTGTATATTAGCGCCGGTGAAATTGCTGGGCACCAACTGAACCACCGATAAGTTATTCTGTACTCTGCATAGCGCCGCTCCCTCTGAACGGCACCGGTCGATTCGCCGCGGCACCTGCGTTGTTGCAACCCCCTACTGCATGTAGGGATCATCATTGCACAGGTCGAGATTTCGAAATCTACGCGAGTTCCAGTTGCATACGCTCTGGTAAATATAAGATGTTCCGGCGATTGCTTCAGCTACACCATAGGGCTCAATCATTTCATTTCCGGACATTGTGGGATAGTAATCACTTCTTGTTCCGTTTATCGCCGTGGCGCGACGGATGCGGCTGGGCTGTATCGAGAGAGAGAGGGGGGGGGGGGGAGGGGTAAGGTTGATGGCAAAAATGTGACTGCCATGTTCATTGTGTTCTTTATTTTGCATGTATGCTGCTTCGTTTGTGCGTGAATAACAACAGCGATTATTTCGCGTCATCGTGTCCCGAGAAAAATCAGTCTTTGATCAAGGAACGTATTCACGGAATGTGTTTCGTATAGAGCGTGCTTACTTATGTAACCGGGCTGGGGGACATCGAAAAGAGACGTTAAGATATTTCTGGCGGCATGTGGAATCTTGATCTTCCTCAAATGCACGATTGTGTGCCGGTTGACGGCTTGATTCGGGACTGTGAGGGGGGTGACGGGGGGTGGGGTGGGAGGGGTGGGAGGGGGTTTCGCCATGCCGTTACAGGAGGAGTCGGAGCACCTGCCGTAACGTGATCTCTTTGTTATACGTGGAAAAATGTTAGCGTAGCTGAGGGGGGTTTCTATGTTATACGTGGTAAAATGTGCATCGGGGAGGGGGGGGGGGGGGGGGTTCCCCGGCCTCCCCAATGTTTTTCTGGCCCCGGATTTTATAAGAGTTTT